ACAATATATAAAAGTGTAAAGGTGTGATTGATTTGTTGTTTTCAAACTGTTTTTAACTTTTAATTTTGTAAAACATTAAAAACGTGCTTAGTCTTGTAATTCTGAAAATGTGCTTTCGAAAATAAGGTTAAAATTATAACATAAAATTCAAAACATATTTTTGATGTTTTGAATGTTTTTAGTGAAATATTAAAATACTCAAAACATGGAAAATAAATGTTTAAATAAAATTTTAAAAAATATTTTTTGAAAAATTAAAATATAAAATTCTAAAAAATTAATTTTTAAAATTTTTAAGAAATAAAATTTTTAAAAAATATATAAATTCAAAAAAATAAAAATTTGATCTAAATTCTAAAAAACTAAACTTTAAAAAATAAAATTCTAAATATATAAAATATAAAATATAAAATATAAAAAAATAATTTCTGAAAATTTCTAAAAAATTAAAAATAAAAAAAGTTCAAGATCTTAATGATTATTTATATAAAAATTAAAAAAAAAATTAGATGATACGAGGAAAAATATTCTCAATCTAAGTCATTAATTGTTATTTTTATTTCTTATATTTTGAACTCAATTTATTATTTATTTTAATTTTAATTTTAATTGTATAATGACAAATGATATTGTAAGTTTCATAAGTTAAAATGTACATATTAATTGATAATATATTAATATAAATTATTTTTACTGAATAATAAAATTTCATAGAATAAAATATAATAAAATAAATTTCAAATCAAACGTGTTTTCTAGTTTTTTTTTGTTCTGAGAAATAATTTTTCAAAATAACAAATCAAATGCATTTTTAGAAATTTTAAAACAAAATATCAAAACATAAAACTGAAAGTATACTTAAAACTCAAAACTGAAACATAAACCAAAAGGGCCCTAATTTTTTCATGAATTTTCACTTCCGTAAGTTTTAGTTTTATTTTGTAACTCACAAAAGGCTTGTCATATTCACTAAAACAATTTGTCGAAGTAAACTCAAAAGCAACCCTGGATTGGGTAAATATCACTTTTGGGATAGCGTATTCCAACGTGTTTCAAGCGTCCATTTTCATAATTCTTGTTCAATCTTCAGTTTTGAGTTTTCTGGTTCGTGTTTTAGTATTCATTCTCCAATTTGTCGAACAAGTTTCCATATTCAACTTTCGCGAAATTTTCCAGTAATAGAAGAGATACTTGTCATGGAGACCCAAGCCGTTCTTCCTACTTGTGAACTTGTACATGTGTTTCTATATGTACTAGAATGGTTCATAAGTTGAATTATGATATTCTTGCATGAAGTCCATAAATGCAACAACTTGTGCTTGTCAAGCTATCTAATTGCGAAAGATTTCTTAAGATCTTCATTTCAAGCAACATGGACCAACTCACATTTATTGTGACAACACTCTTGCAGTTAAACTCACATTGATTGCTCGTAGAATATGTACTCTTGTTTGATTGCTTCTGTGCCAACAAATTTAGCCCATATTTGTTTCAGCAATTTTATTTTTTTATTAAAATTCGAGTCAAAATCAACGATCAGTTTTAACCATACATTTTATGGGACTCACAAATTTTCAATCACACATTCCATCAACTTTTAGCAAAATCTTTTAAAACTCTAATTTCTATCTAAACTAAATTGGGTTTAGTACCAAATCCTGATTTGAATTATTCTATGTACAGCTGGCTGAAAATTGTCAATTTTGAACATATGTCATGCTTGGATTTTACATGATTATTGACAGCCTCATATTCTGTAGGTGCATGCTTTCTTTGAGTTTTCACAACGTCCAAATTTTTTTGAATATAATCCCATTAAATCCATTTTTGATTTTGATGATGATTAAAGACTATAAAATCAGAGTTTCTCGTTCTTGTCTTGTGAGAGTTCGATCTATTGATGTGTACCCTGCTTCGAAGGATTTTATTGGCCAAGGAGTTTAGTGACGACGGCTCATCATGATGCCTAGGTTGTAGCCTGCTACCTTTATCATTCCTCTTATTATTAGTGGTGGCAAGCTACCTTTATCATTCCTCTTATTATTAGTGGTGGCAAGCGGTGTTGATGTCACAGGGGATATCTTTTCAATTTAATCATAATAATATTTCCTCACGTTTCCTATTGGCCAATTTTTCAAGATGGCACCCTTGACTTTCCTAATAAATAAGCTCTTTTGATTACCTTTAAGAGGAGCTCCAAATGATCCAATGTGACCTTCTCTAATCGGACACCAATTGATTTGATCATTTCTTGAATGTTCTTAAAGCATTACCAAAACGCGAAGAAATTAGGGGACACATATATCACAACTTTGTGACTATAAAAAATGTCAAAAACAAGACAAAACATATTGATCATATGTAATACCAGAATTATTCATTATATTAACTAGTCCTATATAAACATCCCCTTCAAGAATACGAATAAAGTTTAGAGACTACAAAACAGATGTTTGAAAGCTGTATCAGGTTTCTATTCTTCTCTGATATTGGAGAGTTTCCATTGAAACCGACTTCACAATTGCTAGCCGAATTCTCAACAACAAGAGCCAGTTTATCAATCCCTCAAAGGTTTCAGAATCCAAATCATTCAATGCTTCAGAAATTGCCTGAATAGCTTCTTCATAATCTCTCTGACATTTCTGCATAGCTTCTATGATTTCAAGCTTGGCATGCCCTTCCATGGACTCAAGTGAAACGTCAATGCAATCACTGGTATTTGTAGCATTTTTATATTCCAGCCCAAATACTATATACGAAAGGAGATACCTATCAGCTTCCGGGGCTCGTGTATCGGAGTAAACTGCAGCCTGACAGAAACTGAAATTTGTAGCGTTCTTGCAAACTTGGGTTGCTAGTTCAGAAGATTTTACATCAGGAATGGTAGAATTGATACACAAGAACACGGAAGTAACACAACAGATGAAGAAAATGGATAGCCTCAAAGAACTAGAAATGACCATTTTTATTTTGTTTTCAGATCAATGGATGGTTTGAAGAAGAAAAGGTTACAAGAAATGTGTCTTTGGTTTTGTTTGTATTATATTGAAGACAAAAGGCATGATGTATGCAGTATACGTTCAACATTATCTCTCAAGAAAGATTGATACCACGGCATGTTTAGTTACATTCAACATTATCTCTCGAGAAAGATAGATATAATATACATATATGACATATTTGGTTGAGAGGATTGAAAGCTTGTTCAAGGATACAATCGAAAAGTTATTTCCAATGCTTAAGAAAGGAAAAAACATATCGACTTTGAAATGAAAAAATAAGAACAATTAACCCTTAATCAACATTTTCACTTTATATACAATAATTTCATAAAATATTACATATATACTACTTCAAAAATATTATGCGTACCATTTGTTCAATATATAAAACGTACAACGCACGTTGAAATAAAAATAAAAATAAAAATTACATCGATAAAATATCTTTTTCATTATCGAAAATTATTTAAATAATTTGAGGAAGAATTAATATTTAAATATATAATTTCAAACAAATGCTAAGAAGGATATACTTGAGAGACATAAAAGAAATTAAGAAAAAGAAAAATAAGTGGCGTGTATTAACAGATAGCTCGAAGTGGTTATCGGAAGAATGAAGATCTTCCTGGCGTTCAATTCCTAACACACACTCCCATATCGCATTATACAATTTGTAAATTATACCCAATCATCAATCTCAATACGAAATTGAATTACTTACTTGAGTACAGTAGTTGATTAGCTGGTGGGCTTAAAGAATGCCAATGGCGGCAGTCCCCCCCCCCCCCCCCCCCCCCCCACCTCGTGGTGTGTGATTTAATACTGTTAGTGTTATCTTGATTTTCTTGAATTCCTTTATGGGGTTGGGGTTGGGAGTATTAGTATATAGTTTGAGTTGATGTTCTTGAAATGCACGTGCTTTACTTCTGATTCGTTTAACTTATATCTTAATGAATTAGTAAATGAGCAACTAAAGATATTACATTACAGGAATTCTTTAAAGGTTCTGCTTAATTAATTGTTATATTTTAATGATCTGCCTGTGATGCTGATGACTCTCATTAATACCTATATTATGTGTTTAATGAATTAGATTTGTATAAGTGGCCAGTAGTAGCCTCGATTTCTGTTTCTGGTTTGCACCAGAGGTTCTCATGGGAATCCTCATTGGATTGTGGATTATTGTTTTGAAAAAAAAGGTTGAACCCCAATCTTAAGGGCTCCCACAGCCCTGTCATTGGAGTATCGTGAGGGAGGTAAATCGCGAGATGTACCCCCAACAGGCCAGAGAACAAGAGTTTGCTCGTATACTGATACCCACAAAGAGTCCAATTCCATATATCAAGAATCGAACCATCACACTGCGACTACCAGTTAGGCCGAGACTACCTCACTCCCGTCCTTTGCACCACTGGGATATGCCACGAGGGCGGATTATTGTTTTGAATATATATGTACAATGGCATCACTTCAATGAAATTCATAAAGTAGAATTTTATGGTAATACCTATTAGTATTAGAAGTGTAAGTGATAGACTGATAGCTATATTATGCCCTCATTTGGTTTTGATTTTTCATCCCAAAAAATTAATTTTTTAACTGTTACTTCTCTAAGTCAGCTGTTATTACTCACAAGTAGACTTTTTCTCTGTAACGATCAAAAAAATCAATTCTCATAATTACTGCCGAACAAACCCTAAAAACTTGGGATACCAGGACTTAAATCACTCCAAACAATTTTCCTAACTAACAAGAATGGACCGATATGTTTTTGATACAAGTGGTATTCTCCTAATCCATTCAGTTTCCTAGAACCTGTTACTCTGCATTTCTGTTTCTGGTGATTTTAGAGAGCATGAACTCTCCAACTGAGATGCCTTTATTTCTCCCGAAATTTTCTAAGGCTGTACACACCCTTCCTAGTGTGGAAGATCTGTAAAATGATCACATTGCTTCTTTCCCTGCTACATTAATCATATAAATGAGTGCAGTATCGAAATTATAAGTACTGGGATGTGCTTGTACTATTTTCTAAGAACAGATCTTGCATTTCTTTTACCTTCATTGGAACTGATTATGTTGATGTTGTTCATTCAGAGTGTTCTGGGCATCATTCTTGGAGGTGGAGCTGGGACTCGGCTTTATCCTCTTACCAAGAAAAGAGCAAAACCTGCTGTCCCTTTGGGTGCAAATTATAGGTTGATTGACATTCCTGTTAGCAATTGCTTGAATAGCAACATATCAAAGATCTATGTCCTCACTCAGTTTAATTCTGCATCTTTGAATCGTCACCTGTCACGGGCCTATGCAAGTAACATGGGTGGGTATAAGAATGAAGGGTTTGTTGAAGTTCTTGCTGCCCAGCAAAGCCCAGAAAACCCTAACTGGTTCCAGGTAAAAGGATGAGACATTTTATAGTGTCAAGATTATAGTGAAACTTAATTGTGTTCTTCAATGGAATTTATATGGCTGGAAGTTTATTGTAGCTGTTGTTTATGGGTTATATTGGGCTAGTATCTAGAATATTTTCACTGTTGTCATGTGTATTAGGGAGGATTGGGTACTACTGCCTAGTAGACGGAATTAAATTAGAAAAAAAGTTAAAATCTCATTACTCATACTGATTGTTCAGCACTCTGCAATAGTCATGCTCTTTGTGTTACATGCATGCTTATCCACCTTAACATGTCCACATGAAAGTGAAAATTTCAAGATATCATAGCTCATCTATAAATTTTCTCATGTTATTAGCTGTAAGGTTTCTGTGCTTAGGTCATCTTGTAAAAAACGTAAGATAGACACTGGGATGTACTTCATCAATTGTAAGACTTTTTCAGCACAAGATCCTCTAGTTACGCGTACATGTTGATGTAATACAAATAGTTGTCTCTTGAAGTTCTATTTTTGTTGCTTACCACCCCAAAAACAGACACTGGAATGTACTTCATCAATTGTAAGACTTTTTCAGCAGAAGATCCTCTAGTTATGTGTATACGTTGATGTAATACAAATAGATGTCTCTTGAAGTTTTATTTTCATTACTTGCCACCCGAAAAACAGGCTGCTTTATCGTCAACAATCTTGGGCTTGGTTAAGCTCATTCCATCAGATATCCATTCTTATTCTCAAGCAACCCATGATTATGGGCTTACTTAGCACTTCAGGATGAGCTACAGAGAAGTTCAGAAGATATTTTCTCCTAAATAAAATTTTCCAAGTATTTCACCATGAGGTATGGTATTCAAAGATATTAACTAATTGAGTATGACTTTCCCTCCAGGGAAAGAATAATATAACCCTTTAAGTTGGTGCTGTGGCATCAATCTACTGATAGCAATTTTACGGTATTTTATTGTTGAAATCATCGTTGTTCCTGTCTTGAATTTTTGTCTCTATATTCTCCTAACACCACTTTGCCATATGCAGGTATTCATGTATATTATTCAGCTTCTCTCTCTCCTAAAAAATATGAGCTTCCAAAATGTAAAAATTCCTATTTGACTCTTTTCTCTGGGAAATAATAGGGCACGGCTGATGCTGTAAGGCAGTATCTATGGCTTTTTGAAGAACATGATGTTCTTGAATATCTCATTCTTGCTGGGGATCATTTGTACCGCATGGATTATGAGAAATTTGTCCAATCTCACAGAGAAACTGATGCTGATATAACAGTTGCTGCACTACCAATGGATGAAAAACGTGCTACTGCATTTGGTCTGATGAAAATTGATGAGGAAGGAAGGATAATAGAATTCGCCGAGAAGCCAAAAGGAGAACAACTGAAGGCAATGAAGGTAAAGCTGCAAACAGAAATTTTTACTTTTTGTATTATTGCATGAGCTTTTTGATTATTGAGAAATGAGAAATGTAATTTCTAATTTCATGTTTATTGTTCTTCGTTTTCATCGTAGGTTGATACCACCATTTTAGGTCTTGATGATGAGAGAGCTAAGGAAATGCCTTATATTGCTAGTATGGGCATATATGTTATCAGTAAGGATGCGATGTTGAGTTTGCTAAGAGAGACATTTCCGGGCGCCAATGATTTTGGAAGCGAAGTTATTCCAGGAGCTACTTCAATTGGATTGAGGGTAAGTCATATTAAAGAAATCACTATTGTGTTGGACACACAACCCTGTATGTATCAGGTTAAGGTCTGTTTCCTTATTCGCCTTTTCTTTTTCCTATTTTTCGTTTTGTTTTTGGTGTTCATCAGGTTCAAGCCTATTTGTATGATGGCTACTGGGAAGACATTGGTACTATTGAGGCTTTCTACAATGCCAATTTAGGGATCACTAAGAAGCCAATACCAGACTTCAGGTCAGTTTTCTTGATGTCTTGGCAGAAGGGGCAAAATTTTCTTAAACCACCCCCTCCCCCCTCCCCTGTGGGCGCTCCAGCTCCTTTCTTTTTTAACATTTTATGTGTGATTGTCCTGTGTGCTGTAGTTTCTATGACCGTTCCTCTCCAATCTATACACAACCCCGGTACCTGCCACCTTCGAAAATGCTTGATGCCGATGTTACGGACAGTGTTATTGGTGAGGGGTGTGTCATTAAGGTAAGATCCATTTTTTCCAGATGGACATATATAGAGGAAGTTCAGTAATCAAATTGTTTGATGATAATAGAGAGGTTCTAGCTGATTTTATTGGCTCATTCTTAAATTTTCAGAACTGTAAGATTCACCATTCCGTAATTGGTCTGCGATCCTGCATCTCAGAGGGCGCAATAATAGAAGACACTCTATTGATGGGAGCTGACTATTACGAGGTAATTGTCTCTGGACATATTGACAATCGGTTCTTTCTATCATGTGTGAGGACATGTTATATGTGCTTGCACGTGTGAAGTCAACGTTTTTACGTTCTTGTACTAAAACTGTTACTGCCTTCTCTACCAGACTGATGCAGACAAAAGACTCTTGGCTGCAAAAGGTAGCGTTCCAATTGGTATTGGGAAGAATTCCCACATCAAGAGAGCAATTATTGACAAGAATGCTCGTATTGGAGACAATGTGAAGGTAGATTTCTTATTGCTTACTAATTATTATACTATGAGGTCGTTTGACAGGGTTTCTACTTCTGCTTTGTGTAGAAGAATTTCCGAGGAAGTCACTTTAAATCAACTTCGTCTAGAACCTTTTATAAGTAGACAAACCATTCCCAGAATACAATCCAAACAAGCATGCTTTTTAAAATTCATGTCAAACATATTCTAAACCCAAGAGGTCGTGTACTAAACACCAATTCCGGGGAGGGAAGAAGACTTGCCGGCTGGTTTTCCACTACAATTACCTAAATGAATTTTCGCGATAGTCTATCTTTCCGTTCTTTTAAAATAGTTAAGTAGCTTAAGAAACATCATCAGGCTGCTCAATGCTTATAGTTACTATTCTAACAGATCATTAACAGCGACGATGTGCAAGAGGCTGCAAGAGAGACAGATGGGTACTTCATCAAGAGTGGTATCGTTACTGTGATTAAGGATGCTTTAATTCCCAGCGGATCAATTATTTGAAGTTGAAAAAAATTACCTTTATAGTTCTTTCAACAAAAGCTGTTTCTTGTTCCTGAATTGTGAACATCCTTTTGGTCCTTACGTTCTTAATAGTTGATCAAATCCCAAAATCTTTCAATTACTCAACGAATTTCAATTTCCGTACACAAAATCCTCCGAAAAAATCATAAATTATTAATTTTGTCAGGGGATATTATAGTGAATAACTTGCGTCTTTAATTATTTGGTTCATTTGTGTACGTTACGTTCTTTGGAAGTATTTAATTGTTTATGTTTACGTGTGATGTGATGAAATTTGTAATAGATTCTCTCACTTTAGCCGTATGCTTTTTTCTTCACGGTATCTTAGCTTATGTTTTCTCAAGTTTACAAGTAGTTAAATTATTTTTATCTATACATTACGAGAGATTTATAAGTAATATTCAATTAGTTGTTAATTTATATCTACTTGTAATGTATTTTGTTTGTAAAAATATTTCATCATTTCAACTTAAAGGAATAAGTGTAAGTTGGAACAAAAAAGGGCCCGATTAGGTACTGACTCGGCCGGGTTAGGTCAGGTCAGCTATTAGAATAAAAAGGGCAAAATGCCTAGTATTCGTTGTTTACAGGTAGAACTACTATGGTATGTAATCTCATTCGTTTTCCTAACTTTTGTCTTTTAGTGATATTGTTGGCTTCAAAATTAGATATTGATCGAGTTCAGTGAACCCAAATCAGTATTTCAAAACAAACAATTCGATTCAATTTTGCAACTTGACGAGTTTTTATTCAGCTCTATCAGAGTTGATAAAGGTCCTAAAATAAGTCTTTTTGCTACCAACTTTTAGACCCTATTTGATGGGTATTTCATCTAAAAAATAATGTTTTGAATAATGATTTTTAGGAGGTTGTGTGATTAAAAGTAAGGAAAAATTTTATTTTTACATGCAGAACATTTTATTACGTGAATATATAATTGAAAATAAAGATTAAAAAAAAGAATTTAAAAATAATAATTGTCAAATGGGGGCTTATCTCGTAAACTTTGCTAAAAAAAAAATGAACTCCACCTCTAAAGGAATGTGTTAAAAATAAAAACCTTACTACATGTATATCAAATTTTATATAATGGATTATATAATACCACATGTTCACTCATTTATTATATGATCACGCATTACACGTGATCACAGCTGTACAAAAAGTCAAACAGATAAAATAAATACTTTCCAGATTATAACGTACACAAATTGACAAAATGGTTTATTCACCATAATGCCCCTGATAGAACTTGACAAATAGGCTAGCTTTCAGGTTTTCGGAGCCCTTAGCCCTATTCCTTTCGTAGCTTGCTCATCCAACCGATCATCAACACGTATGTTTGGATTATATATACAGCTATTTTGATTAATTAATTTTGACATTTTCACGGAGAATTTATGTACTGAAATCGATGTTAAACAGTATGATTTTAGTATAACACATAGATTGGAGAAATACGACGGGAGTTTTATAGATCTGGTATGATTCTCCTTCTCCTTCTATTTTCATTTGTACCCTCTTTTTGGGAATTATATTTTGTTTTTGCTTTTGGAATTTGGTCAACTGTTAAAGAACATGAATTTTCTTGTCGCGGAAAGCAGATAATTCTCACTCTGTTGCTCTGTAACCCTAATTTGATGAATATAATGATGCTTAATTTTGTCTTTTAGGAGTATTTTTTTTGTTATATACTGACTGATTTTACTTTTCTTATGATGGTAATGCTGTTTTTTCGCCTTAATATTTTGTAGTATCGAGTCTTAGAAATTACGCTTAATTTTGATGCGGCTACGTGTCTAACGGCTTTCCAGAAACTTTAGGCCGTAAAGTAATTTTTTCTTGAAGTCAAAAGGTATTTTCTGATAGCTTGTGGTTTTGATGATGTAAATATGCACTATTTTTCGATGTCAGTGTTATTACTTTCGTTAGGCAGGATCAGATGAGTGCCATTTATGATAATTTCGGCTCCTTTCGATAACCTGTTATATGTTATTTATGAGCAGTGTGCAGTCTTACTGTAGAGTAATACTATTTGTCATCATGATGATTGATTATCATGTTTAGATGGCATTTAATGATATATCCAATAACATGGGTTCCCTATCCCTGCATTTAATTGGACCTATCATTTAACATCATCATGATGATGACAATAGCATTATTCCTTATTATATGAATGCCATGGTGCTTATGTACTGTAAATATCTAACAGCGATTATTTTTTATTTTTTATTTTTTTTTTCGTTCAACTAATTTATACAATACTGTTACTTGTACGTACTATTCTAATAACTGTAGTTCATCTCTATAAAAAGAAGCTTGATTTGGCTTTCAGGACACTTCTACTAGGGAAAAAATCGAACAACATGCCCACACACATTATTACGCGTGTATATTATACCATGTAAAAAATAGTTATGGAGGGTGTCCTCACCTCGTAAATGTGCACTTTTGTCAATCATGGCCTTGCATCAGTGTATTTATATGGAAAGCATTTACCCATTTGACTTGAGCGGTTTGTTTTCTGTACATAGAGTTTGTTTGGCCTGATTTGCATTCCTATGGTAATATATTTTTGATGTTTGTTATTTTTATTTCTCGCCATAGATTAATGACGTATGTTCAAACCAAAAGGCCTTCCCAGCTCAAGCTTGGTTTATAGCAATCCAGTGGTTTGCAGTCAGCCGTTAGACTGTGGTGCCAGCACCATGGATCATAGCAATGGAGGTAACAACGTCAACAACAATCCTAGTCTGGCTTCTAAGCAGCGGCTTCGCTGGACGCATGAGCTTCATGAACGTTTTATTGATGCTGTAGCGCAGCTCGGTGGGCCAGATCGTAAGTTGTATTTATTTTCTATTTTTCTCTGCTCTTGCAACGCTTATCCACCCCTGGGGAAAAAAAATTCAAGCAAATAATAAATACATAGTTAGGTAAAAGAAATAATAATAAAACACTAGTTGACTGAATACTGACACAGAAAAGGAAAACAGAAAATAATTGTTTATCTTCAGAAATTTTATTTGGAGAGGTGTTACTTTATTTGAAGTTGTTGTAGCGTCGAAAGAGGTTTTGTTTGATCTATATTCCAGAAAAGGGAAACATGGAAGAATGCTACTGTCTGGTACTTTGAGTATATGCACACATGGAAGGATTTCTACTTTCTTTTTCCTTCATTTGCTTGCCAAAATACCCACACAGGCCTTACAAGGTCTTTTTGGTGATAGACTTATTTCACTTTGGCAATGGTACGTTACTTGACTGATCCAGAAAATGCAGGCGAATTTTTTGAACTGCTATTGGCAAATGGATGAATCTCATTGAACAATGCAATTTGCGCAAAGTCAATGAATCGCGGAAAATAATGATACACGCGATTAGATGTGGTCTTGGCATGATACCATTGCTTATGGTCAATTTTATTTATACACGTTAAGTTCTTCTACTATGGTTAATGTTCATGGATGACTCTGACCACTCAAAATGGAGGGTTGACCAGCTCACCCTTACTTGAGTAAGATAATATGGCTGAAGGAAAATTATGCTGGGTGAATATTCTTAATTGCTGGGATGAATTATACTGTAAATCATGGTGTCATATTGAATTCAATAATTAAATTTCTTGAGAAAAGCTTTTCTTACAAAGGGTAGTGGGTGCATGACTTTTTCTCACATGGTTTAGTAGACTTTTCAAACACAACTAATGTAGATAGAATCATCAAGATAACCAAGAAAAATAAATAAAAGTTGGTTTCACCATAATCCAATCCTCCATCTCATGTCCATGTCACATCAACACAAATGTGCTAAAACATTAAATTCAATGTAACCAAAAGCCAATGGCAAAAGGCAACATGACACAGACCCTCCATTTATCTCTCCGAGACTTCCGTGTCCGACATTCCTCGGACATTCCAAGGACATGTTTTACACCTGCTATATGCATTTTTCTTTTTCTGATGCTGGTATTTATAGTGTAGCTCAAACTTATTTAAATAAAATAAAAAGACTCAAACAATATAAAAGATTTCACCAATTAAAATCAAATCTAGAAAAAGTACTGAATTTATGAATTATAAAAATAAGGACATAATATATAAACGTAAAATCTCAAAACGACGTGCCCTTGTCCTACTTTTTTGAAAAATCACGGCGTGTTTGTGTTTGCATGTTTGTGCTTCTTAGTGGAGAAGACATGGTTCTTCTTGTTATCTGCATTTAGTGATCCAAAAATATTGAATTCTATAGAAAACATATTAGAAGACTTAGCTTACAACAAATATTGTGGAATATCATGTTGGTAAATTTCTGTGACTTAAGTGGGAAAATCTTAGACCACTCTTCATTCACTTGTTAACAAAAATTTTCTCTTGAGTATTTATTTCCCTATTTCAGGAGCTACTCCAAAAGGTGTTCTTAGAGTTATGGGCGTTCAAGGGCTAACTATTTACCATGTAAAAAGCCATTTACAGGTGTATAAGCCATAATTTTCCTTTCAAAATTACTTTTCCTGTGTCTGTTTTCTCTACTTGGTTGCTTATGTTGCTTTTTTATTTTAAACAGAAATATCGACTTGCCAAGTATCTACCAGATTCTTCATCTGATGGTAAGTTAACATATTGCATTGTAATGTATACAAGTCGTAGATTGTACTGTAATTATCGTCTATGTTTTCAAAATGTGCTGAACCTTGTAGCATATCTTCAAGTAAATAATATTTGAAACTTGGGCTTACTGGTTCGTTTTGTCTTGATTTCTATATACAAGGAAAAAAGACTGAAAAGAAGGAATCTGGAGATGTGCTTTCCAGTTTGGATGGTTCGTCGTAAGTACAATTTTCTTTTTCTTGTCGAATATTTTTTTTTCTCTGACTCACATGAGCACATAATTGTTTCCTGAACCTTCCAGCTACTTAAGAATTACTGAATTAAGATATATGGGACCGTGCCCCCAAACAAGGGATTTATAAATAATAACAACTACCTAACTTAAACCAATCTAACAGTCCACATATATTTTATTAAAACCATTCAAAATTCCTATACCCACATCCAAACACACCAATTCCCTATTAATTATATCATCAACACAATTTATTTGTCTTTTCTAAATCAATCTCTATGCGTACTCTCTCTGTTCCCCCCCCCCCCCCCAACACACGCGCCTCATCTATTGAAACTATGTCATCAGAACAGACTGAGGAACCTTGGATTGAATACTTACTTTAAGCTCATCCATAATATAAGTATATAATCAATCAATGTCATTTTTTCCATTTTGCTTTCACTGAGAAATGTTAAGATCTAAATATTGT